CAAGGCGAGTTCAGGAGCGTGCTGTCGCCGAACCACGCTCTCCGAAAAAGTAAGGAGGCTACCCTGAGGAGGTCGCGGCGTGGGCCGAGCTTCCTTTGAACCACGTAGTCGGGCGTGCTGCCTCTTATGCGATGGTGGTAAGTTAGCGACTTCTTGTTGGGCTCCTTGTCATTACCTTTCTCGCTATTACTCTTTTAACATTGTCGTTGTTTTTCTTTTTGGCAGGTGAACTCCTCCATCCATGCTTTAGCGGCCCAAGCAAAAAGGAGCTCAAGGCGGGCACGAGCTACAGAAGAGGCTTCCCGCGCCGAAGCGGCTTCTCGCGCTGCACAGGCCAGGCTGGCGAGGTCTGAGAGAGACACCGAGGCCCTGGGAGTGGTGGTGAAGCACATGGCGGACCTGAGGCTGGACTTGCAACATCAGGTCGAATACCTTCAGGAGGATATTAGGGAGAGGACTGAGATCTTTTCTTAGGGCATCAAGGATGTCACGAAGAAGGCCGTCGATGACTATATCGCCTCGCCGCGCTTTGACAACCTAATGGTGGGCTCGTACAGAAGGGGTTTTAAACTGAGCCGGTGGATGATCAGGAACACGTACCCCGAGCTCGACATCAGCGCCATAACCACTTTGCGCATCACTCGGGAGATTACCAACACGGCTGACGGTGAACCAGATTTTGAGGACGAGGCAAGACCCTCGGGTATCGTTGAAGTGCCTTCCGAGGGTGAGGACTGAGATTGTCGGACTGCTGGAATTTTTTTTTTTTTTGGAATGTAAACATAGTATTTTGTAATGAAATGTTCTTTTGGTTAAGTGTTTTCGTGTTCTCCTTCTTTGTCGAACTGATTATATTGTTCTGTCGAGAACCACTCGTACGGCCGCTTTCGGCATCAACACTTGGCCCCCGATGATGAAATACCGAGGTCCTTATCAGCTCGCTGTTTAGCGTTTTGCCTCGTCAGCTTGGTGCTAGCATTTTGTCTCGTCAGCTTGGTGCTAGCATTTTGCCTTTGCTTGCCCACGCCGAGGTCCTTGGTAGCGAGTTAGTCCACCTCGTTCGGTGATTTATAGGTAGTATCATCTCAAGTTAACGACGTTCCACGCTCGGGGTACTTGTTTGCCCTCTAGGGTTTCGAGCTCGTATGCTCCCCTGAGTGTTCTCTTTACTCGGTAGGGTCCTTCCCCATTAGGTCCAAGTTTGCCCATGCTGGGCTCGGGTGCCATGATCTTACGGAGAACCAGGTCGTCGACGCGGAAGTTCCGCTTTTTTACTCTGGCATTGTACTATCAAGCTACTCTTTGTTGGTAGGCTGCAGTCCGGATGTACGCGAGGTCTCTTACCTTGTCGAGTAGATCGAGGTTGGTGCGTAGCTCGTCTCCGTTTGCCTGATCGTCGTATGCTTCTAGTCGCAGTGTAGGTACTTTGATCTCCGTCGGGATTACTGCTTCAGTGCCGTAGGTGAGGTTAAAGGGGGTCTCTCCCGTGGCGGTTTTTTCCGTAGTTCGGTGAACCCATAGAACACTTGGTAGCTTGTCCGCCCATAACC